CGGGGTGGACCCTGGTTCAAGAAGCTCCGCCCCGGGAGTCACCGTTTTTTGTTTTTTTCTCAGTACGGAACACTTTGTTCCGGTCCCACCACGTTTCCCTCCGGACTCTTTTGAGTGCAGCACTTCCGGGAGCTCCGGGCTTCTCGGCGCGGTGTGCGTGCTGAAGCCGGCTCCTCGGCTCCGTGCTCCCGCCTGCTCCCCTCGCGGCCGCGCGCGCCCGTTTCCCGGCCTCATGGCTGGGCTGACCCTGTTTGTGAGCCGCCTCCCGCCCTCGGCCCGCAGTGAGCAGCTGGAGGAGCTGTTCAGTCAGGTGGGGCCGGTGAAGCAGTGCTTCGTGGTGACGGAGAAAGGTGAGGGGGCGGGGCGGCCGGGGCAGGGCTGGGGTTCCTGGGAGTGCGGTGGGGTGAGGACACCCCCAGACTTCAGCGTGCGGGACTCTGTACCCGCCCCTAGGAGAAGGGCCTGGGGTTTGAGTTTCTTTTCCAAACTGACTCTGCCCTAAATGAGTCCATAGGAGTCTGTTTCTGAAAGTCAAAGCATTCCCTTAAGTTTAAATAGCGCTTTCCGTTTATTATGCACGCGCACATACAAGATCTTATTTGGTAACAGTGAAAATAGCAACCTTTCAATAAAACCTCGGTAAGGCTTATTGAGAGTCAGCTGATTGTCAGGTTCCGTGCGGAGTTCCGCACGTGTTATCTCATTTAATTTTCTCAGCATTCTTGTTAGGTGGAGTGCCTTAACTCCATTTTACTGACAGGAAACCTAGGGCTGAGAGGAATTTGGTAACTTCAGCTTCAGTTTGTACAGGTAGTAAGTTGCAGACCCAGAATTTGATTACCAGACCTGGAGCTCTTAACCATCCTGTTATTTATTTGCTCAGTTTATTTATAAATATTTGTTGAATGCCTGCTAAGTGCCAGGCACTGTTGTAGTTCCGGGGGAATACAGCAGTGCACCAAACCAAACCAAACCCCTTGCCCTTACTTATGTCTTCAAGATGGGGAAGACAGCCAGTAAACAAATAAGCAAAATATATAGTGATAATGGTGGTAAATACTAAGGAGAAAGATAACTCAGGGAAGGATAGGGAGTGTGCGTGTGTGTGTTGTATGTGGGGGATGTGTAAGGGGTGTCGAGTAGTGTCAGTTACAGATAGAGTAACCAGGGAAGGCCTGGAGGTGGGAGAGTGAACATGTGTCTGTCAGGGGAGAGGAGCAGTCTAGGCAGAGGAAACTTCAAGCTCCAGGATACTTAGGAGGACTGTGCCTGGTATATTGGAGGAATAGCATGGAGACGAGGGTGACTGGAGTGAAGTGAGTGAAAGGAAGGAATTAGAAGATGAAACCTGGGTTCAGATTATGTAGAAACTCGTAGGCCATTGCAAGGGACTTTGGCTTTTACCCGAGATGGGAAACTACTGGTTTTGAGCAGGAGCAGTAAGTATGAAAGATTTTGAAAGATTCTGCTAGCCGTTGTGTTGAATAGGCTGTTGGAGAATAGGACAGAAGCAGGGAGACCTCTTGCAATAATCCAGGTGAGAGATCATGGTGTTGGACCAGGATGGTAGCCATGGATGGTAAAAAGTGATTGGAATGTGGATATTTTTTAAGTTAAAGCTGAGAGGATTTGCTGATGGATCAGTCGTGGGGTATGAGAAAAAGAGGAGTCAAAGAGTCAAGTGTGAGTCCAAGGTTTTTGGCTTGAGCGTCTGGAGATATTTATTGACTTGTGGAGTACTGCTGTATGCTTCACATTCTGTTTGATGCTTGTCACATCGCTGTGCAGGAGGGTTGGCATGTATTAGAATGAGGATGAATTGTAAGGGTTTTTAATTGTAGAAGCATTCCTTCCTCTTACCTAGACTTCAAGGGATTTTCAGGATAGGCGCCTGATGTTACCCAGGACATACATTTAGTTTCCTTCTAATTATCAGGCTGTCTCTCTAGGTAGCTCCCTCTTTGCCTTTCAGCAGAACAAGTGGTGGGAACTAGCATCTTGTGTCCCCACCATCGCCCCATGGTATCTGAGTATGTGAGTAGGCAGGCCGACAGTGTGCTAACAATCACTCCATCCTTAGCCTCTATTTTGTTAGCAGCAGAAGTTAGAGTAGGATTGTCAACGTGGCTCTGAACACTATACAAGCCATTGTACCTGCCTGGTTCTTTGTCATTTTATGTATAGATATGGCTGAATGAGGGAATGAGAGTGCTATATAGGAATGTTTCTTAAGCTGCAGATCATTACCCGTTAATGAGTCTTGACTAGAATTTTTGAATGAACTGGGAGTATATCCATATGTGGTAAAGCATAAGTATTCATAAAACTTTTTTTTGTTTTATATAAGGAATATGTATATGTGGACTGGGTTCACATTATGAGTTGTTCATTACTGTGGGTTGTCAAAACAGTTTAAGAAACACTACAGTGCAGAATAGTTGTGTTTCAGGAAAGAACAAGCCATTGAGTGGGAATTCTTCTTTGGGTCCTCAGAATATAGGCTACATGTAACCTTACCTCCTACCTTGTGTATGTGGCCTAAATCTTTAAAGAAAGCTCTTATTTTCTTAGTAAGAAACCATATGCTTTTCTGTCCACACAGCCTAGATGTATTGGAAAGAGTGCTGTACCTAGTGGGATGGGAGGGATGGTGTGGGATGAAGTCTTGCTCTGTATTGGTGACGTGGTCATGCCACTTAACCTCTTTAAGGTGAGAATAATTTCACAGGATTGTTGTGAGGATTCAAGTAAATAATGTGAGTGCTTTGTGCAGATGTAAACAATGCATGGCATTTATTGTGGGTATGTTTTTATTTTGTCACTGAACTCCTTCGTGTTTCAGCTGCTTTGTTTTGTTGCACTGGTCAGGAAGGGCCCTGATTTTTCTTGGTCTTATTTTCTGAAAGGTGAGTGGGCAGACTTTTGTGAGAAATTGTTGCAAGAGAAAAGAAACTGGTCTCCAGATCACAGTATGCTTTCCTAGTGCCAGGTGTCAGCTTTAGTCAGGTTAGGTGGATCAGTGTCCTGTGTTTCAGGGCTTGTACCTGAAGCAGGTTCAAGTGTAGCTGAAAAAGAAGCAGAACACGTGAGCTGTGTTTCTTCTTTGGGTAGCAGGAAGACTACTTGGTCTGTCTTTTTCCTTTTTAGTGCAGTAAATTACTTAAAAATGTACTGCTCAAAAATGTTAAATTTTAAAAAAGCATAGCAAAAAAGGCAAAGGCAGGTTACAGTTTTTATTTTGCAACTTTTCATTTGCTTGGTCCTAATATTCTTCTCTGTGGCCATTATATTGGTGGACTCCCATGGAAAGAGCTTGAAGCTAGTAATGAATTAATTCAGGTACTAATTCCCTGGGGGACAGTAGCCAATTCACTTACTTTTCTCTATTCGTTTTACTTACCTTAGTGTTCTGAAGATAAAGTGAGATAAGAGATTTACAGCTCCTTTGCACAGGTTTAATTTGATATTGATCACTAAGGGTTGGTAATAATGGTACCTACAGGCTCCCGAAGCACTGCTTATTGTTTGAGGTTCTTTTGTCAGGGCCTCCCTCCGGCATCATTGCTGATCTGTTGTGAGGAGGAGCTGCATTATTACATGGAATTTACCATTCCTACCCTCTCTGGTGATATTCCCTTCTACTTGATGTTGAGTTCTTTGGGGGTGTAATTTTTATCATGGATCCTCCATAATCTTGAGATTATCAGGAAAGGAGGAGGAAGAGGTGCCAACACCAAAGACCAAATTCGAAGAGGAAGCCTGACAGGTTCTGAGCCAAGATGTGAAGGGGCCACTGATGTCAGCCTTGTGTCTGTCCCTCTGGAGAATTTTGGCAAACTGATGATAGGATGCCCCTGGAATTGTATTTGCTAGCTTAGGGATTTGAGCATTTATTGGCTTAGGGCTCTTGGCTGACGATGATCTCTCCCCCACCCCCTTACTGCTCAGGAAGTAAGGCATGTCGAGGCTTTGGCTATGTCACTTTCTCTATGCTGGAAGATGTTCAGAGGGCCCTCAAGGAGATTACCACCTTTGAAGGCTGCAAGATCAACGTGAGTGTTGCCAAGAAAAAACTGAGGAACAAGTCCAAGGAAAAGGGGAGAAATGGTGAGTTTCTAGTAACTGAAGGGAGTTTTCTCACAGGGTGAGGAGGAAGTGGAATGGTGGGCTTCTAAATTTAGAGCTTCCTGAATTTGGTTTTGATATCCAAAATTATTCAGTGTATTTTATTACTCATTTTAGTCTTTTATTTACTTCTAAGCCTGGAAAATCTGGGGGTCCTGATCCCTGTGGTAAATGCCATCTGTTGCTGGTAGCTTTTTTCGTGTGGTGGTCTGGACCTCGAGGTGGGTGGTTTTGGAACACAGACTTATTCCATTCCCTCTTATTTTTTTTTAGGAAATTCAGAGTCCCCAAAGAAGGAGCAGAAGCCTAAAAAAGCCAAAGTGGCAGATAAGAAAGCCAGATTAATTATTCGGAATCTGAGCTTTAAGGTGAGTGACAGAGGACACTAACACTGCCTCTTCTGAAAGCTGTTGGTGCTCACGGGTGGAACTCCTCACCAGAATGGTAAAATGGACATAATGTGTTTTGGGAATGAATCTTAGCCTTGTTGAATTCAGAAAATGGGCCTGTATAAACACAAACTTAAGACAATAAGGGAAGATGCCTTCCTGAGACAGGGAAGGAAAAGCTCTCTGATATCTGTCCTCTTGCTTCTTAGATACAGAGCAAGATGTCTTTTATTTAGAAATGTTTGTCTTAGTTTCAAAAGTAAAAAAGAAGTAAAAATATTCAAGTTCTTCCTAATGAACTAATTTAGTAATTAATGTTTCATATTTATTTGCTGGGATAATTTCTCTTTTTTTTTCTTTACTTTTGTCTTCAGTGTTCGGAAGATGACTTGAAGACAGTATTTACTCAATATGGAGCTGTCCTGGAAGTTAACATCCCTAGGAAGCCAGGTACTAGCAAACCTTCATTTGGTGTGGATTAGATTATTTAACATAATGGTCTTATTCCATATTACCCTTGAATTAAGCACCATTAGAACTAGAAATGCAAGGTACATGTCATAGTCTTTGTGAACCCCAGCTGATGTGATATATATAAAGTATTAGGTACAGTGCTTGGCAAGTAATAAAAACTCACGTAATAGTGCTGGTGGTATTTCTAGTAAGGTATTTTTAGTTTAGGTGTCCCCTGTGGTATTTTTAGTTAGATAAGAGCTAGTATTAGAAGACAAGTTATAGTTTAAGAAAATGCATTGCTCTCTCCAAGCCCAAGTCACAGTATACTTAGCAGGAATATATAAGCTTTGAGCAAGGAGCTGGCTGGTTGGCAGGATATGGGCCGTCTTGCCAGCCTGTGTTGCTATAATTTCCTTCTGAGGCCTGTTGGCTCCCCACCTGCTGCTTCTAACATCTTTGTACATTTGCACACAGATGGAAAGATGCGTGGTTTTGCTTTTGTTCAGTTCAAAAACCTCCTAGAAGCAGGAAAAGCTCTCAAAAACATGAACATGAAAGAGATAAAGGGTAAGTTTTCTATACCCATGCCATCGACCCAGATATTTCTGGTGTTTGGGTGAATTAGCACAGTAACCCACTTGTTATATTTTCAAAACGACTTTGCATTGTTGAGAGTCTCACTGCCAATATAGAAGCTATTTTGGTGAAATATTCCTAACACTTGTTCTTAGAGTTAAACTCAAAAGAACCCATGTCATTATTACCTTTTCTTTATTTGGTGATGAGTGTTCTTATAAATCCCTAATGAAAAATTTCCCTGAAATAATCACTGATAGATGTGGGTTGCTGTCTGGGGAATGTGGGATTTGCAGGTTTTCCCCTCTTGGTTATAAGCATTATTCAGCGTCCATGGGCTATTAAACTGACAGTGAGGCTACTCTGGATATTGATTTACCAGGTACTAAAGAAGGGATTGGGTTAGAGACTTCCTAACTTCTGAGTATGATGCAGATGATTCCAGAATGCCTGTTTTGCCTCTTGCTAGTCTGACTGGAAACTTGTTGGTCTAACTGGAAACACTGCTCTAATTATTTAAAAAAATTATATCTTATCCCAGTCATGATGGCTGTGTAGAAAGGCAAAATTTCTGTTCATTGATAAAAAGGGTAAGGTTTAAAAAGAATAGACAGCTACTAGGAGTTTTATTTTAGGACCACCATTCTTTGGTGAATAGCAAGTCATTTACAGGATATAGGAGTATTAAAAAGATGTTACTTTTCTGTCTGACAGGGCGGACAGTAGCTGTGGATTGGGCTGTGGCAAAGGATAAATATAAAAATACACAGCCTGCTTCTGCCCCAGGTAAGGTGTGGTGTTGGGTAGGAGGGATTGTATGTTTTGGGGTGAGTGTGGAAACAACTCCACAATAAAAGTATAAAGGAACCTACTTGTCAGTGAGAATATTGGGCTGGATATACCAAAAGCACAAGATTACCCCCCAAAATGAGACTGAGGAGTAAGAAAAACTCTAAATTTCCTGCTGCTCAGAAATCCAGAGCTGTTTGTCAATTCGTATTGTCCCATTTGGTGATCTTGTCCCAAAACAGGATCTTTTGAGTCTAAGCTCACTCCTGGGCGTGGATGTGAGTGAGGAGTAGGTCTGAGTCCATTGTTCCCTCTACTTGCTGTCCTTTCTCTGCTTTCCGTAATAAGGAATGATGGAACATTAAGAATAGGGAAACTTGCCCTGGCCAGTGTGCTCAGTGGTTAGAGTATCAGCCTAAGCACAGAAGGGTCCCGGGTCGATTCCCAGTCAAGGGCACATACCTGAGTTGCAGGTTTGCTCCCCGACCAGGAGTGAGAGGCAACCAATTAATGTGTCTCTCTTGAATCAATGTTTCTCTCTCTCTCTCTCTCCCTCTCTCTCTCTCTCTCTCGTTCACCCCTTCCCCCCTTTCCATTCTCTCTGGAAAGCAGTGGAAAGAAATATCCTTGGGTGAAGATTAACAAACAAACAAATAAAAAAGAATAAGGAAACTTAAACTTGGGTTTTATTTAGAAAACAGATGGCTTTTAGGCTACCAGGAGCTCGGAGAACAGAACGCACCGAGATTAAAGTTCATAGCTGGGCTTGCGTGTGCGCAGTGCTGCCTGTGGTGCATGATGGTGGCTGTGTGGAGGCTCAGTTGCTGCTTCTCATGCTGAGCCAGGTAACCTTCAGGCTTTTGATGAATGAATGGGCAGACTCCAAGGGAATCTCAATGATGAGGGGCTTTTGGTATTTTTTCTTCTTCATACCTACTCTTATTCTGTACAGTAAGAAAAATATATGAGATTCTATAAAACTAAAGGAACTAGGAACTTGAGGGTATTAGTTACTCTTGTTAAAATACCCTTATTTTAGATACTGAATTAATTGCTAACTTCCTTTACCTCCCTTTGTAGTTGAGGAGACGCGACCTGAACCTAAACATCAGAAATCAGGTAAAGAGAATGGCAGGAAAGAAGAGGGCATGGGAGAAGAAGAGGAGGATGATGGTGATATGGGAGAGGAAGAGGAGGAGGAGGAGGAGAGTGACGATGAGGAGAATAAAGAATCAGAGGTGACCAAGCCTGTGCAGATCCACGGCAGGTAAGCGGCTCAGCTTGTTCTGAGACCACAGAGGAAGATTTGGGATGGTCTCTGTGGGGGGAGGACTTTCCCTGCCCCATCATTGTAGAATTGACCTGTGTCATGAAGTTGGATAGCCCCTCTGTCCACCCAGGTCCTTAGTTCTGAACTGTGCCATTGCAGAGCAGTCAAGAAAGCAGTGCCCTCAGAAGGCAGTGAAGAGGATCATTCCGATGAGGACAGCGGCCTGGAGGAAAGTGACAGTGTTGATAGTGGAGAGGAACTGGCTCAGAGTGACGCCAACACTGAAGAGCAAGAGGATGAAGGTTTGCCTGGGATCTTCTAATTTAAGTTAATACTGAGAAACGTACAGCTCAGGCCTCTTTAAATAGGACCCTAAGGTGTTCTGTCAAATTTATATTGAAATGCCGAAGATGAAAACTTTGTATAAAGATTTTTTTATTTTGTTTTTTAAATTAGCCGGAGTGCTGTTTGAGGGTTAAGATTCCTTAGGAATTTATTTTTTATTTATTTTTAAAATATATCTTTATTGATTTCAGGGAGAGGAAGGGAGAGGGAGAGAGACAGAAACATCAGTGATAAGAGAGTCATTGATCAGCTGCCTCCTGCACCC